GGTCACTTAAGAAAGAATGGTGCAACCATGTACTGTGGAGATATAAATTACATAGGTACTATAATGTCCCAATCTATAAAAATGTCTCCACACTGGACTGCCAAATGGACCTAAATAAATGTAGCTTACCACATTCGTGCAACATGAACTTCATGTTCAGAAACTTTACCAAGAAGCGCCCAGCTTATGTGTCCCATCCCTCTTATATTGCTTCATTGATAAACAACAGCTACATAAAATTTGAAGTTTCCCCAGACACCTGTTTAGACTTCATCCACAAAACCTACTTAGGACACTTTAGCAGGTACCACTTGTTCTGGTCCACTTTCATACCAGATACCGCTGAGATGAGCACTTCTCCCACAGATGAGACAACCGTCACGTCATCTGCCATCCCAACCACCCGACCACCTTCTACCACCAAATCTGATATACCTGACCCCAAACCGCATTCTGGTTTTGAAAGAGTCCCTATGCTCTGGGGATATTTTGAGGATTGTACAATCTTTAACAGAGACACAAATATCACCACCTTTAAACTGACAGAGTTCCCCAACTTCTACACTTTTGGAACCTTTTGCACCCACGGTGACACACCCTGTCCCACATTTACTAAGGATGATGCATTTACATCTGAAGACTATTATAAGGAATTTCTATACTATAATAGAATTGGACCACCGAAAATTTACCTCATATGATTATTCACAAAGACCCCAACCACAGCACCCATGAAGTCGATGAAGAGTATTTTACCCCCCATGGCAGGTTAATGTGCGCTAACCTCAGCCATGTCTGTACTGACACCATCATCAATAAGAGAGCACTTAATATTACCACCAGTATAGATAGAGGGACCCAGCCCCAGGACAAATTGCAAGTCTATAAAATTAAAATATGTACAGCAATAAATAAGACTAAATTAAATTTTAAGCTGATAGAAAAGCATTATAATGAATGGCAATGGTTTCTGCAAACACTCCCATTGCCTAAAAATTGGAAACTCCCAAGATATCCAGTAGAGATAATTGCTAGGTATGTAGCTTATGGTGATCTAGACAATTGGAAGGAAACATGGAATAAAAATTATACCTGGGGACCAAATAATGCAATAGTTGGACACACACTCTCGGGAACAAATATAGAAATACTATCAGAAGGAACCCAATCAGGAAATCAGCTTTATGTGATGCTCACCGAGGAAGATAGGGAAAATGTAAAAGAAAAAATTAAGGTACTTGAGATAAAGGATGAGAACAGTCGACCCTCATTTTTCGTAGGGCTAAAAGATGTAATCTCCAAATTACCATCCCATAAATGCCAGAATAGTATAATATATAAAAACCGTGCATCTAGTAGTCGGGTTCACAATTGGACCTTTATATGTAGAGCAACCTCTGAGGAAATTCACTCCACCCCTCTTATATTAAACAGCAAGTTGGCATCTACTTATAGAAAAAACCCAAATTTACCCTGTCATTGTGAAGATCCCAAGACTGACTTGTCTTATGATGGCTCCAAATTAAAACACCAACCATATGAATGGTAGAATAATTGGGGGTTTGAAACCTATTTTAAAAGACTTAAGATTAATGATAATATAAACTTCCCACTGTTATTATATGATGGATTATCATGCTTGAATGAAATCTGGACAATTAAGCATACTAGACTTGGAGAGAGGGAACTGATTTTACCCATCTGGATTATACCAATTTCATGGAACACATGCCATGCAGCCAGCAACAGCATTGGACCATTAGAATACATCGAGGCTGTTTTAATCAAACCCATCGCCTGATGACTGAACAGTACAGAATTGAATGGACTACTGGCCATACAAACCCCCCGCTATCTCGTCTACAGCACCAGCTTCCCTGCCTACCTTTGCCCAGCCCAAACTGATATATGTCAAACCTGACTTGATTAGGATTCACTCTACAGTCAACATTGAGGATTTCAAGATAATGCATTATATACCTTGGTGTTCACCACATTCTAATAAAATATTCAACTACCTGAAATCCCCAGACAATCACTACCAGGGGGATCTAGAAAACTCCTATCTCTAGGCTGGTTTGTAGGGACACTTTTTGGCATTGCAGATTTAGCATGGGATGCTGCCCAAGAGGCAGAAACCCAAAATATAAAAATTAAGCTGACAAATCTAGAACACATTAAAGGTGAAATGTTAAATTTACAAAAACTATTCATGATTTGTCTGGATTACTAACATCCTCCCTTGAAAAAGCCAAGACGGCTATTGCAAATCTTCAACAAGAAATCAGCTACATTCAACATTCCCTTAAAAGACAAGGTGACATCAATGAAATACTGTCCCCCGCTATCGAAACCTTTCAGATGGAATCCAGATGCGAATACCTGCAGTAATAGTCGACCACTTCCTGGAACGATATCAGGAACTTAATTATTTTTAAAACCAGATTCTCCACTAAAGGCAATATGAGGGTGAAGTTGGACATCACACAACCCAGCGGATGTGACTCTGTGCACACCTGCACGATCACTGTGCTTGCACTCACCAATAGACAACCTATATTGGGTTATGAGGCCAAGCCCCATACCCTACAAAGTTGGGAATGACTGGTTCTCATATAAAGATACTAAACTATATGTGAGTGGACTTATTATAGGGACAATTTCCTATTTGGGATGAGGAAACATTAATCACACACCAACACATACAACATTCTTTGGACATGACGTCAGCCTATAGAACTAATAAACCACGGGGAGTCCAAAATCTAGAACATTTCAAATGGCTTTGTTGTAATACTAAGCTTATGTACTCTGATCATACCACAAGAAACAATATACTACTAGATTGCACAGATAATTGTCTATTGCTGAATGACGTCATTAACATTACAAAAGACAATATTTCTATTCTCACGTGGACACCAAATGTCTTATCTGAACACATCATTCCAAATATTAGTGATACACATATTAAAAACATCATAATCCCACCTGCCCTAGAAGCTGATCAGGAGTTAGTCCTAAACCATTTACAAAACGAAACTGATCATTTAGTTAAACATATGGCCAAAGATCTCAAAAAGGCTAAAATCCTTAATCATATTTTGGGTACTAAATACTTTTTAGATGTCAGTCCAGAACTCTGACTGTGACTGGGCAACTGCCTGGAAAAAACTGTTCTTCCCACAGAAATACACCTGTAAGGGGAATGTTGGCAGCTTGCTTAGATCTGTTAATTCAAAGTAAAACTAGTTTCTGGAATTCTTTCTCTAATCTTGGTCATTGGATGTTCACCTCTTTACTTCACTTATTTGTTACTATATGTTTTATCATTTTACTCATATTCTTGTGTAAACAATTATTGCTAATATGTGTTGGTTCCCGGAAGCGTTCTTGAGCCTTTGCACTCCCTGGAACCAGGGGGTGGATATGATGAGAGCACCATAGAACTTCCTTGCAAGACGATGAACTTCCTTGCAAGACGTTGAGCCACATCAAAGAAATAAACACAAGAAACCCCACTTTAGAGAAGAAATAAAGTGTAACATTGGGGTCCAAATCAACAGCTGATCCAAGGAGCCACCACAAAAATGTGGAGAAACCCGATAAGACCGGGCTGAGACCTGACTGACACCCCAAAGCCAGCCAAGCCACCTAAAGGGTGGAGAGACCTGATAAGACTTGACTGGGACAGTGACTACGTCAAAGAGCCAGCCACGCTGTCCATTTAAACCGGGTAGAGACACTGACTTTCAGAGAGCTAGGAACCAGGGAGACATCATCTCCTGCTCTCTCCAACTCTACCCAGGGTGAGTACACCGATGAGGCAATGCTGATTGGGACTATGGTGCTAGGATGAAATGTGTGAAGAATGCTGTTATTATGCCCTTATGCTCATAGTTGTTTGCCCTTAGTAGTTTGAGTAATATTTTAGATTGTTTGATGTGTGTTTGCAGTGAATAAACCGAGCATTCGAAAATGTCTAAGAGCGTTAAGTAATTATTGATCGCACCGCTCATGACAATCTTGAGACCCACTAAGTACAATGGATAGGCTGCAAATAATGGAGATAAAGTACATGGCAATATTGTGGAGATGGGATCATGCAAATAAAGTGTACTGAACCCTAAATTGATGATTAGTAAAGTTTGTCCTCCTGCAAGGCTTAAAGAGAGTCATCGCTGAAGTGGAAGGGGTGTCACTAAGCCAGTAAGCAAGAAGAGCGGGGAATGGAGGGTAATCGTGCATTCTTTGGACCTGGATTCCTACCATAGGAACCACTACAATCCAGGTAGGAGAGATCTGGGACATCAGAGGACTAGAGATGGTGAGGAATAATGGTAGAAAAGTGGTGGTAACAGAGGGAGCAGAATCAACAGTCCAGAAATAGAGAGGGTGGTAGAATTCCATCCCCTCGGAGCAAAGCAGTGATTGATTTGGGGCAGGAGGCTGGCTGGTACTTATGGGAAGAGCCATTGCTTGCTTGATCAGGGCAAAGTTAAGAGTCCTTGGGGCAGAGAGATTGAGGGCTAGACAGAGGCATACTGGATTGCAATGTTGGGAAGAGGCTATGCTGATTGAAGAGAGGCATTCTCAGTCATTTCTGATCCTGAACCATATATAATCTGTTGTTACTTCCCTAATAAAATCCATGATTGTGAGTATGACCTGTAAGTTCTGTGGTCATTGCCATGAATTCTCAAGCTCATTGGTAAAGTGGAGAGTAGTGATGGAAGGACCATTGATGTCAGAAATTTGCAAAAATGGTTAGAGGTTAGAGAAACATCTGACCTCTCCCTCAAGGCAATCCTCCTTATACTGCTGATCTTGATCCTTCTACCTCACTTGGGAAGTTACAAGATGAGACAAAACTGAATCATATGCTTCTATTGATGTACATTGGCTTTGTAAGTAAAATCATTACGATTCTATGTAATTCCTAAAAGTGAAGACAATTTGAAATGTTAACAATTTGAAATGTTGACCATCTTAGCACTTACCTCATGTGGGTGATGATAAGTGTGGTGGTGGGAATGAAAAAATCATCCACTCTGTCAAATTGCTTTCCCACGGGTTGTGTGTGGATCGTGTGGTGAGGCACATTCCCACTGGCCAGCGTAATGACCTAAACAGAACACCTGTGTTATAGACCTCTGCAAATCACGAATAACTAGAAATCAAATCATGTAATTTCTGGAAGTTTTTCCAAAAGCTCTGTATTAAATATCCTTAAAATGTGTATATTATGAACCACATTACAATCCTACAAGTATTTTTTATTTGTAATAAACAATCATTTTTCCTATAAAGAATATTAAAGTTTTCTAAAGAATTTATGATTAAAATATATAGACATATTGTAAAGTTATAGAATTTATGAAGTAATTATTATAAAAATTGAGATGACAGCCCCTCTAATAAAGAACATCTGTCAGATTTTGCCAAAAACTTTAAAATACACCAGATAAAATATTTCAGCATTTAATAAACTTTGAATTAATGCTTTCTTCTATTAGATTATATAACTGATTTATAAGTTTTAATCAGATATTTTATGTATGATTTGAACATTAGTTGACTTTAACACTTGAAAGATCACTGCATTTAAACATTTTATATCTTGTTTTCACCAAATCAATTAGTTTTCCCTTGAAACTTCTCATACCTGCCTGATTTATGGTATTCCACCTACTGCATAGCCATTATTCTACATTTAGGGTCTTCCTACTTCATGATTTTTCTTTTTTAATACTTCTTTATATTTGTTCATCAAAATACATTTCCTACACTATTCTCTGTGTTAAAGTTTCTTAATTAACAATTGAGTTTCTTTATTGCTTTCATGACAGAAATAAATAACTACTTTTACTTTCTTTTCTTTTCTAAATTTTTTTTCTTCACTGAAAAGTTACACTTCTATGGCATTCAAGAGAAAATCGTCATGTTAATTCAACATGGATTAATTATTGTATATGTGAGGATAGGCTATGCTTTGTTTCAGTTAGAATAAAACAAAACAACAACAAGTGAACCTTAGTCTTAGTGGTTTAAAATACATATTATTTGTTTTACATGTGTTACTTTGCCAGAGTGCCTTGTTAGGATCTTTAGCTTCTGTTTTCTGGTGAATGAGAATAGAGCCATCAATTAAACATTTTGCAATTTACATCATAATCTTTGGTAAGAAATAGTCAATTGTCTCTGCAAAATCAATACAGGACAACCATGCACCAGGAAGGATACAGTGAAAGATAATTCACATACACACACACAATCAAAACTTTATCAATACTACATTCATTTAATAAATTAAAAAGGATAATTTGACATTCATCATTGAATTTTAACCACTCGACAAGACAGTCTTCTAAAGCAAGGACTACAAGAACTGAATAAAGAATGAGGAATAACAATGTGGGAATTCTCCAAACTTTAATTCCTTGATATTGTTTGTTGCTCTGGTAAGCCGCTATCCATGAGACCATCTTCTGTTAAAGAGTGCAACGGGGCTCCATTCAGTTTTCTTTTCTCTAATGTGAATAGTGTTAATAAACAAAACTATCACTTTGAAGACTAATGTTTATCTGCTCCAAGTAATGGGATTTTCCATCCCCTCATCTGCACATGCGATCTGGACAATGAATAAAGATGAACGAAGAGCTGATGTATTTGAATTGCAGGGTGTAGTAAAGAAGATAGAACATATCACAGAACGCCAGAAAGACAACCAAACCTATCTTGGGAACGTGCCTTAGAAGCAAGGATGGAGACATACTGCCTTGTGACGTTTAAAAGGTGACTAGGAAGATCAGTTCTTAGAAAGAGCGCTCATACTTGTTGCTGTTAGGTGCCACAAAGTCTGCTCTGACCCACAGCAAGCGTGTGCCCCACAGAATGAAACAGCGCACGGTCCTGCACCAGCCTCCAAGTGCTCTTGTGCCTCAGTCGCTCGTGCAGCCACCGCGTCAATCCATCTTGATGAGGTCCTGCCTCTTTTCCCTGCCTCCTTCCATTTTACAGAACATGATGTACCTCTCCAAGGACAGGTCTCTCCTGACAATAGACGCGAAATAAGAAGAACTAAGTCTTGCCATCCTTGCCTCTAAGGAGCACTCTGGCCATACCTCTTCCAGTGCAAATCTGTTTGTCCTTTTTTAGCAGGCCAGGATATATATTATTTATTTTTAGACTTTTCATAGCTTTACTGTATTTTCATTAGTATATATTTTTTTCATTTCCATTCAGTTTAATTTGTTACTTTATCAAAGTCACAAATCATTATTTGTCTTTCTTTCAATATTCTTCTTCACCTCTGCAATTCAAATGCACCAGTTCTTCTTGGCTCCTCCATATGCAATGTCCAACTTTCACCGGGACATGATCCAATGGAGAATACCATGGTATGGGGTAGGCACATCTCAGACCTCAAAGTAACATTAATGCTCTTCAATGCTATAAAGAGTTCTTGTGTAGCAGATTTACCTGATGTAAAACATCTTTTAATTTCTTGACTGCTGCTTCCATGAGTATTGATTGTGGATCCAAGCAAGACAAAATCCTTGACAACTTAAATCTTTTCTCCATGTATCACAATACAACCTAATGGTCCAGTTGTGAAGATCTGGGCCTTCCTGACATTGACTTGTAATCCACGTATCAAGGCTACAATCTGTGATACTCATTAGCAAATGCTTCCATTCCTCCTAACGTTCAAGCGAGCAAGATTGTATCATCTGCATACCACAGGTTGTTCATCAGCCTGCCTCCCATCCTGATGCCACACTCCTCTGCGTATAACTCAGCTTCTCTGATGATTCTCTCAGCATACCGATTGAACAAGTATGGTGACAGGACACAACCACGATGTCACCTTTCCTGATTTTAATCCATGCAGTATTCCTCGGTCTCTCCAGAAAACTGCCCCTTGGTTCACATATGTTCCCTATAAGCACAGGGAAGTGTTCTGGATTTCCTATTCTTCTCAGGTTATCCTCACTGTAGTAATGTCTGCACCGTCTAATGCCTTGCCATCGTCAATGAAACCCAAGTAAACATCTTTCTGGTGTT